CCATGCCATACCATACCGCCATACCATACCATGCCAAGCCATACCATACCATACATACCATACCACCATGTCATACCACCATACCATGCCATACCATACCAACATGCCATACCACCATACCATGCCATACCATGCCATACCATACCACCATACCATACATACCATACCATGCCATACCATACCACACCACCATACCATACATACCATCAATCAACCTTTATTTATACAGGTAAATCCCATTGAGCCTCGAGGACTCATTTACAAGAGAGACCTGATTTCAACAAAGAAAGATGACAACAATGGACAACAGCAACAACAATAAGCAGTTATAAAAACTCATACTACATACTACTACTCATACTACATACTACTCATACTACTACCATACCATGCCATACCATACCACACCACCATACCATACAAACCATACCATGCCATACCATACTGCCATACCATACCACCATACCATACATACCATACCATGTCATACCATACCACACCACCATACATACCATACCATACCATGCCATACCATACCGCCATATCATACCATACCATACCATACCATACCATACCATACCATACCATACCATACCATGTCATACCACCATACCATGCCATACCATACCACCATGCCATACCGCTATACCATGCCATACCATACCATGCCATACCATAACACCATACATACCATACCAAACCACCATGCCATACCGCCATACCATACCATACCATACCATACCATACTAGTTTTATTTATAGAGCACTTTAAACACCCACATGATCAAAATGCTGTACTCATAATAAAAACAATCAGGCAATCAGACAATGAAGAATGATTAAAAGCAGTTAAAATCCAACATTTCAGATGGTGTCAAATGCCAGGGATTTAAAAACAGACAGGGAAAAGGCCAGTCTTATGTCCAAGACAAGGTTGTTCCACAGTTTAGGAGCTGCCACAGCAAAAGCACGGTCTCCTCTGAGTTTACACTTTGTTTTCGGCACACTCAGGAGCAGCTGATCACATGACCTGAGGGATCGAGACGGTGTGTACGGATGTAGCAACTCGGACAGATAGGGTCCATTGACAGACAGATTCCAGCAAGTTCATTAAGAACTTTAAAAGCAAATAAAAGTATTTTAAAATGAATACTAAAATGTACAGGCAGCCAGCGCAGGGAGGCTTAAACAGGGGAAACATGGTCAAACTTTCGTGTGCCAGTTAAAAGCCGTGCAGCAGCATTCTGTACCCTCTGAAGCTGAGAGATACACGAATGAGTGATTCCTTTATAGAGTGCATTATAGGTGTGGTTTAATAAACTACATGTTCCCTCTAACCTATACGTTTTTCCCAAAATATTGCTTCAAAGCAACATTTTGTATCATACAGTTTAGAGGTATTCTTTATATTTTATTTTAGAAAATCTTTATTGAGAATTCAAAACAAGAGCTCAGCAGCAAAATTCCAGCTTGAGCCTCATACAGCACATCCTACAGACGCAATCTGGGTAGTCTCACACAATGTCAAACATCTGTTCAATCTGTATTGTGCTCCAGTGGTTGGTATGCCAAGATATCAAGGCATGCAGCAAACAAAACCGAATCACTGACAAGTCTGTCACACTCGATAAAAGAGGGCACTATAATAATCCTGTTGAAAACTGCCCAGCAAAAGAAAATCAGAGTGGAAGGCAGATTTGTGCACTCAATGCACACAGGGTACTGACACCGCCGCTAACAAAACCCGGAGCCTTTCAGGAGTTTTTCCGCCTCTGGCAGAGGTATTTCATGTTCCACACAAGCTGCTGCCCCAGAGTCCGCTGAGGGGTGAAACACAGAGAAAAAGGTTGAATGCCTGAAGACTGAGGAGTCAAGTCGTGGCTGACAGGATGGAGTTCACTGGGACGTGAGAGGTATGATCTATGGGCAGCAGATGGAACAGTTCAAACAGAAACCAGCCACTGTCAACTTTCTGCTATTTGCCATCACATCTTTAAAAGTTATAAATAAAAATAATTAGCCTGCGGTCATCTTCAGGACAGCGAGAGGTAGCAGCCTGCTCTCCACACCCATCACCCCATGCGTGCACACCCTTGTCATGGGATGTTTTTAAGAGCTGAAGCAAACCAAAGCACTATATAAAGACCCTTGGAGGATTCTTTGTCTCACCCCACCGAGCTTTGGGGAATTTATTTTTCATCAGGAAGACTGCTGGGATTTCAGAGCCAACAAAAAGTCCACGCCATCCCTCTTTTGTTTATTTTATGTAGACTTTTTAAAATTATGAGTGAGTCTGCTAAAATGGAGGAATCGTGCGGTGAGTACAAGACGGACGCCCCTTGGTACCCACTGAAAAAATGGTGGCAGTTCAGCCAGATTAGCTGTCCAGATATTGGCCTGCCACCTGTCCTGGAACCAGGGGATCCACGGTGGACGAGTGCAGACTGGTTCAAGAGGAGTCTGGCTGCCTGTTCCTGGCTGGGGTTCGTACCGGCTCCTCTGTTTGTGCCGTACGTCTCTGAGTCGATGCATCATGCTGGCCAGATGATTAGGAAGTGGAGGATCAGCATGGATGTGGCTCACTTCTACCCCTCTGAGATTTCTCTGGGCGTCCGAGGTGGATTTCTGGAGGTTCGAGGTACGGCTTTGTTAATTAAACATAAAAAAAATAAGTATTTTCATAAAGGGCAGGACTGATTAAGCATTAAAAATCCCAATCTAATATTATCTAAAAATGTTTCTCACGGTTAAATACAACGGGGGGAAAGTTAAAGGGTACAAAATGAAAAGAAGTTGTTTTAAATAATGTGCTTGGGGAAATTAAAATCACAGCTCTGTGACATAAATTAATTTCTGTGTCGAGTGGTTTCTCTGTGTCCTCACATCGTTCCTTTAAACGGTAAACTTTCCCCAGGGAACCATGAAGAGAGGCCTGATGAGCTTGGATTTATTTCCAGATGTTTCTCCAGAAAATATAGGTAAACATGATTTGGGACGTCACAAAAACGAGCCTAGCAGCAATACGTTTGCAGCTTGAACTCTTTTTTTGACCATACTTAAAATGATGTTTTAGTATTTGCATGTTTTTTGGGGGGATTATACGATTTAAAATATTTCCTTTTCAGGCTTCCAGTTGAAGTTGATATGACCAAACTCGTGTCCACACTTTCTGTTGATGGCATCTTGACTATTGAAGCTCCTGTTCCAGAAACCGCTGCTTCTGCTGCCATCATCGTTCCAATAAAGGTGACGAACTATATGCTTATATTTTATCAAATAACTAAATTAATTTTCCTATTTAATGACGTGTCCGCCTGCTGAATGACAAATCAACAGTTAGCTTAGATTAAGATAAAAACTAGAAACAGCAGCCTTATTAACATCAGACCAGTTCAGTTCATTTTGAATTAGAATGTACCAGTGAGTGCAAAAATGTCACATGACAGGAGTTTGGGGCCATTTCTTGTCCTTAAATATTCAATGTGTGTGTGAGACCCATACGAGTTAGACTTTTGTCAGCCGATACCAAGTGGAGTCAAAATAGGACACATTGTCTGAAGTCCTTCTATGTAGAGCAGGTAAGCGTTTATTACTTATTTAGGTGGAATGTTAATTATCATTAGAGTATGTGTGTGGGATCAAACGTTACATGGCGCTGTTTTATTGGTTTAACAACCCAATACAGACATTAAAACCAGTATTTCTGGAAGGATTGAATATAGTTTGACGTCTCTAAAAGCAAAGTTTTACAAAGATCTCAAGTGGTCTATTAACACTTGGATTGTATGCACTGGTATAAAGGGGCCGAGATGGGGTAGAGGTAGGGCAGCTGACACAAAGCCCACTGCTCCAACTGGGTGTAACTTTTGTGTGATGGGCTAAATGCAGAGAACTAATTTTGCCAATGTGTGGAAATATCTAACGATGACAGCATAGAGCACTTTATATGTTGAGGATAACTCCAAGCTACTACCACATCAAATTGTGGCTCAGTGTTTGTTAAACTGAGTTGAAGACATTTTTCTGAGTGTTTGCTGAGGTCAAATACTTTGGTAGTCATTTTGAGTTGGGTCGACTTCAACAGGTTGTAGATGTTCAACTGAAGATCCAGAGACAAAGACTGAGGAGTGAACAAACTTAAAGACTCGGTGTAAATTTAAAATGATTTTATTTACAGTGGGGTCAGGAACTCTGAGGAGCATGGACATGGGTTAGAAGATATCTTCATGAGGAGGATGGTGTGCAGGATGATCTCAGCCTTACTGTAGATTAGGCAGTATTAAAAAAAAGTCCATGCTCAATAATCCAGGTATACAATCCAACAATTTTTAGTCACG